GTTGACTTTGCATGTTGGAAGCCGGCCGGGAAGGTCGCAAATGGAGATCCCACGACCCCGGGACACTGCGACCGTCGTAAATGTGAAGTCAGTTGTGCCAACAGTCTGAATTTGTATCCATGGGGAGGCTGCCACCGTTGTAAGTGTGAAAAACGGTCGTACGTCCCTTTTTCCAGTGCCGTTGCAACCTTGAAGGGTCACTAAACGAATGGTTATACGTCGAGGACAACCAGTACAGCAAAAATGGACCTGTAGAATAGTCAGGATTTGTTCCTGGACTGTTATTTTTATGGCCAACTCATGCGGCATTGCATAGCATCCTCAATCGTTCTGTGATCGACGCGTTTCCCTGACCAGTTTGGAATCTGGTCATGGAATTTGCAATCTGACACAAGGCCACCTGAAGAGACTAGAAGCATTTGAAATGTGGATTGACAGGCAGCTGTTACGTAGAAGCTGGGTGGACAAGATCAGAAATGAGGAGGGGATGAGCCGCCTGGGAAAGCCGAGGGAAATCACCAAAATAATTAAAAAACGAAAATTAGAATATTTTGGACAGGTGATGCGACACCCAGAAAAATACGGCATGCTCCATTTAACCCTCCAGGGAAAGATTGAAGGCAAACGAGGTCCAGGCAGAAGAAGAACATTGTGGCTTCAAAATCTCAGGGACCGGTTTGGACAAAACTCAGCAGCACTTTTTCGTGCGGCTCCTGATAAAAACAGGATCGCCAACATGATCGCCAACGTCCGATAACGGATATGGCAGAAGAAGAAGAAGAAGAAGAAAAAGAAAGAAAGAAAGAAAGAAAGAAAGAAAGAAAGAAAGAAAGAAAGAAAGAAAGAAAGAAAGAAAGAAAGAGTAGTAGTAGTAGTAGTTCATTTTGCAAAGGTCCAGTTGGGTATTGATTAGGGCACGATGACGATGAGCAGCACTTCCCAAAGTAGAGGTGGGTGCAGCTTGGCACCCGAAATGCATTTGTGGTTAGAAGGCAGCATTGTAGGCTAACTCTGCCCACTGCCAGAAGTTCGATCCTGACAGGGCTCAAGGTTGACTCAGCCTTCCGTCCTTCCGAGGTTGCTAAAATGAGGACCCAGATTGTTGGGGGCCAAGAGGCTGACTCTGTAAACCGTTCAGAGAGGGCTGTAAAGCAGTATATAAGTCTAAGTGCTATTGCTATTGTTCTTCCTTTTCCCCTTCCTTCCTTCCTTCCTTCCTTCCTTCCTTCCTTCCTTCCTTCCTTCCTTCCTTCCTTCCTTCCTTCCTTCCTTCTTTCCTTCCACCCATCCATCCATCCATCCATCCATCCACACATGGTACACAATGGTTAGAATGCAGCATTGTAGACTAACTCTGCCCACTGCCAGGGCTCAAGGTTGACTCAGCCTTCCGTCCTTCCGAGGTCGGTAAAATGAGGACCCAGATTGTTGGGGGTCCATAGGCTGACTCTGTAAACCGCTCAGAGAGGGCTGTACAAGCACTGGGAAGCGGGATATAAGTCTGCTATTGCTATTTGTACAAAGCTCTTTCTGTCCGTAGCTGCCATCTTCTCCTTGAGCAAGCGCTAATGTCCAGGAGGAGCCCCAGATTGTACACCAACGTGGTCTCGGGCAGTGGTACCCCATCCAGAGGAAATGAAGGAAGATCACTAGATACCAGGGGAAAGTTGGGGGGGGGGAAGCAGCTAAAACCTGTAGCCACTTGGTCTCGTCAAGGTCAGGAAAGACCTCCCTATCGCTGGCCCAATGTCATCACCGTACCTCGAAGGGAAATGGCTTACGTAAAGGAAGCAAATAGAATTGTAGCCTGCCCAGAGTCACTTGGCTGAGATGGGCAGCTGTAGAAATTTAAAATAGGACAGGAGCAGGAACAGAACAGAAAAGCAGAGTTTGGGATAGGCAGGATCCGATCTGAGTCGGCCACCAGGACCAGAGGTTTAGTCTTCCGAGTTTTTGGATTTGTGCTGGAGCCTATCTTTAGGGAAGTCTCTCTAGCAGAGTGTGTGCTTTGGGCTATTCTATGTGTGGTGTTTATATTGTGCCTTTTTAGATGTTGACTGGGGTGTTGATGGCTTGCTACTAAGTCGCCGGCTGTGGTTTCCTTGCGCTGTCAAACCCTCTCCTCCTAAGTCAGGGGTTCCCAACCGGGGGTGCGAGACGATATTCCAGTGGGTGTGCAAACTTGGGTTTAGAAGTTTCGAAATTATAGTGTAGGCGCATAATTCGTTGCCTTTATTTCAAACTTTTGTAAGGGGGTGCAAGAATATATCAGAAGCGTTCTAGGGGTGCGGGGTATAGAAAAGGTTGGGGACCGCTGTCCTAATTGTTTGATAAGCTGATGGTAAATCAGCACTCCTGTTGGCTGACGGGCCGTTTTCAGGCTTCAATTATTTCCCTGGCTATTTTTGTACCTGCTCAGCCAATAATCTTAGTAGCTGCAAAACCGAACGTATGTCATTATTGCAGCGTGAGACTACCAATGAGTTCGGGTCCCCTTGTCTGTCTGCTCGCTTGTCTTCTTGCAATCTGGTGGATTATATAATAATAATAATGATATAGTTGGAAGGGACCTTGGAGGTCATCTAGTCCAACCCCCTGCTCAGGCAGGAAACCCTATACCATTTCGGACAAATGGCTGTCCAGTCTCTTCTTAAAAACTTCCAGTGTTGGAGCATTCACTGCTTCTGGAGGCAGGTGGTTCCACTGGTTAATTGTTCTCACTGTCAGGAAGTTTCTCCTTAGTTCTAGGTTGCTTCTCTCCTTGATGAGTTTCCATCCGTTGTTTCTTGTCCTGCCTTCAGGCGCCTTGGAGAGTAGCTTGACTGCCTCTTCTTTGGGGCAGCCCCTGAGATATTGGAAGGCTGCTATCATGTCTTCCCTCGTCCTTCTCTTCATTAAAGTAGACATACCCAATTCCAGCAACCGTTCCTGATATGCTTTAGCCTCCAGTCCCCTGATCATCTTTGTTGGTTAGCTTTCTCCCTGTCCGTCCTTCATGGTCACCGTTTGCGATTTGCTTCATGTCCTGACCACCATTTCGCTGGAGCAGATTGAATTGCTTTCCAGTCGGACTTTGCTATGCTTATGGATCCAAGGAATTTGCTTCTGGGTGCTGGTTGTTTTTGGAATTGAAAACGGCGTCCGATTTGGAGAACGTCCCTCTTCAAACTAGGACCCTTTTAGAGGCGACGGCCAAGTGAACCGCTGCCGACTTCCACGTTGGGTTTTGTTAGGCCGTCCTAGCGGGGATCTGTTGGCTGCGATCACGAGTCTCACGTCCTTTTCCGGTTTCCTCTTTTTCAGGTCTCTCACGTCCAATTCCCCCCGTCACTCTTCGCCCGGGAACAAGTCTCCGGCTGTGCAGCACCGATGGAGAAACAAAGGACTGCGCTGTATCGAAGGGGTCATGTACCGGGTGTCGGCTAACAAGCTTTCCAAAACATCCAGCCCTCCCGGCAGGAGCATGGAGGTGGCGACCAGGAGCCAAGCCAGAGGAGGTGAGTGTCTGTCCCTGGTGGGTCGTCTACAAGGAATTTCACAGCTATCCACCAGTCACTTTGCCCAGAGGGCGGTTGACGTTCCGTGTCCTTTGCTCCAAACTTCGAAATTAATCTCGTGGTGCAGAGGTCCCCAACCTTTTGGGCGCCAGGGACCGGTTGCATGGAGAGAGGTTTTCCTGCGGACCGGAGGTGGCGTGGCTTTGTGTGCTGCCTACCTCTCGCGGATGGGGCTTTGCTTGTTTGTGCGGACCGGTTGCTGGCATGCCGTGGCCCGGTACTGGGATTGGGGACCCCTGTTGTGGAATACCTTCAGCTTTTCAGGGTTGAAACGAGGGGTCCTTGGTGGTGTCTGAGCTTGGTTGTTTTCATGCAGACGTTTAATGACCCAGCTAGGTAACGTCATCAGGAGAAGGAAGGAGGCAGGGTTTGCTCTGTGTAAACCCATGCCAAGCCTCGCGCGGGCGATGTTACTTAATTTGGGTAATGAAATGTCTGGGGAAAAAAACAGGGAGCACCAAGGACCCCTCGCCCTCAGCTTTGTGTCCCACCTAGATCCCCTTTTTCATTGTTTCGCAGAGCGTTAAACCTTGGCAAAATGGTTCCGCTCCTTTCCAAACCACAAGCAGCCCTTGATTCGGGACCAGCAATTGAGCCACAACATTTCCGTCGCTAAGTGAGACAGTTAAGCGAGCTTTGCCCCATTTTACGACCTTTCTTTCTTCTTTTTTTTATAAAGATTTTATTGATTTTCTTTTGTATACATATGTTAATTTTCCAATCAACGAGTTTGTCTGGGATTAGCTATGCTAATACATATTCCATTCCTAATCCTTCATTCTTTCCTCTAACCAACGGTAAAATGGATCCCAAATTTGGTAGTAGTCCGTGTCTTCTTTATCTTTCAATCTCATAGTTAATCTGTCCATCTCTGCACATTCCAATATTTTCCTGATTATTTCTTCTTCTGATGGCAATCCTTCGTTCTTCCAGTATTGTGCGAAGATTATTCTCGCTGCTGTGGTGATGTGGAAAATTAAGAATAAACTCTGCTTATTAATCTTTTCAGGCATTATACCTAGTAAAAAAAGTTCAGGTTTAAAATCAACATGTTCACCTAATATTTTTTCTAACCACATATGTATCTTTCTCCAATAAGGCTTGGCTTTGCCACGTCCACCAAACATGGTAGTACGTGCCTATATTATCTTTACATTTCCAACATCTATCTGACATAGTTTTAAACATTTTTGCTAATCCTGCTGGCGGCAAGTGCCATCTATAAAACATTTTATACAAGTTTTCTTTATATGAGGTTGACATTGTTAGTTTGTAGTTTCTCTCCCATAGCATTTACCACTTTTCTAGTTCTGTATTATAGCCAAAGTTTTTTGCCCATCTTATCATTGTTTCTTTAACTTATTCACTTTCCATTTCCAATATTAACAAAAAATTATACATTTTCTTAATTTCTTAATTCATTTTACGACCTTTCTTTGCTGCAGTTGTTAATCAGTGCGGTTGTTAAGTTGACAACGTGGTTGTTAAGTGAATCTGGCTTTCCCATTGACTTTGCTGGCTACAAGGTCGCAAAAGGGGATCCCGGTGACCCCGGGACGCTGCAGCCGTCGTAAGTACACGCCAGTTGCCAAGCGTTTGAATTTTGATCACGTGACCGAGAGATGGTGCAACGGTCATAAGTGTGAAGAAAGGTCATAAGCGCCATTGTGACTTTGAACGGGCACTAAATGAATGGTTTTAAGTTGAGCACTACCCGTACATAACTTCCAACTTTCAGGATCTGAACTTCTAAATTAAACGAGAGTGTGCTACAACTACAACCGAAACGAAGAGACCCTGAGTTCTAGTCCTACCGTAGGCATGAAAGCCAGCTAGATGACTTTGGGGCCAGTCACTCTCTCAAGTGACTGTGTGGAAAATAGGAGGAAGGAAGGAATGTAGCATATGTTTGCAGCCTTGAATCGTTCATAAAAAAATAATTAAAGTGGGCTAGAAACGAATGAATAAAAATCAACTAATTTTTTTGCGAGCTAAACCGAATGTTGCCGAAATGAAAGGGCCGGTCATGTTTAGTTAACTTGTTAACAACTACAGCCGATTACCGAATTTTAGCAGAACAGTTCTTAGGTAGGAAATAATTAAAATTGTGGCTTTGTTTGCTGCTTGCGTTTAGGAATCTAATCTCTATAATTGTATCTTGAACAATGGAACAGCCTCTCTCTTAAGCGATTGCCTGTTTGAGGATCAGGCTTGATAATTCGAGATGATGAAGAATTGATTTTGTGGGGTTCGGATGCCATAGCTTCCGTTTCCATCCAGAAACGGTACCAGCAGTAATCCAGATAAGGCTTCTAAATATATGTTAAATTAGTTTAGCTTTTCACCGCTGGCATAACGAGGTGCGTTAACACAAACGATGTGAATTGCTATAACTGGCGAACTTTAAGGGACTCGAAGCCCACTCCCCCTCCTTCGTCCATTCAGTGTTCCTTCCTCGGTGTCCCCCGCTTGCTCCGAGCTCTGTTCCTGAACACCTCTGTGGGCGATCCCTTGCTCCATTTCACCAGGCACTCAGGCCATTTCCAGTCATTAGGCAGGGAGGAAGTTCTCCGGGCGTGCTTGACCCCTACAAGTGTCTGGCCAGTGCTGAGATAAGCAGGAGGGACGAGATGAAGAATTGCTCCGAGCTTGGATTCGGTGAGGATTTTCTTGGCCTGAAAATTGTAAAGGTGGCTCCCGCTGGGGAAGGAATTTTATGGGCTAGTCAGTTACAGACGTTTGAACACTTTCCCTTTATCTGGAATGGAATGGAATAAAATGGAACAGAACAGAAGAACAGAATTGGAGGTGATGAAGAAGAAGAAGAAGAAGAAGAAGAAGAAGAAGAAGAAGAAGAAGAAGAAGAAGAAGAAGAAGAAGAAGAAGAAGAAGAAGAAGAAGAAGAAGAAGAAGAGGAGGAGGAGGAGGAGGAGGAGGAGGAGGAGGATGTTGGAAAGGACCTTGGAGGTCATCTAGTCCAACCCCCTGCTCAGGCAGGAAACCCTATACCATTTCAGACAAATGGCTGTCCAGTCTGTTCTTAAATACTCCCAGTGTTGGAGCATTCGCAGCTTCTAGAGGCAGGTTGTTCCACTGGTTAATTGTTCTAACTGTCAGGAAGTTTCTCCTTAGTTCTAAGGTTGCTTCTCTCCTTGATCAGTTTTCACCCGTTGCTTCTTGTCCTGCCTTCAGGCGCTTTGGAGAATAGCTTGACTCCCTCTTCTTTGGGGCAGCCCCTGAGATACTGGAACACTGCTATCCTGTCCCCCCTCGTCCTTCTCTTCATTAAACTAGACAGACCCAATTCCAGCAACCGTTCCTTACACATTTTAGCCTCCAGTCCCCTCATCATCTGCTCAAGCAGAAGACCCTGTACAATTCAAACGGCTGTCCCATCTCTTCTTTAAAGCCTCCAGTAATGGAGCATCCACAGCTTCTGAAGACAAGTCGTTCCACCGATTAATTGTCCTCCCTGTTGGGAAATTTCTCCTTAATTCTCGGTTGGATTTCTCTTTGATGAGCTTCCGTCCGTTGCTTCTTGTCCTGCCCTCAAGGGCTTTGGAGAATAGGTTGAGCCTCTCTTTTTTGTGACAGCCCCTCCAGTATTGGAAGACTGCTATCCTGTCACCCCTACCCTTTGTTAGACAAGTCATGCCCAATTCCTCCAACTGTTCTTTGCATAGTTTCGCCTCCAGCCCCCTAAATCATCTTTGTTGCTCTTCTCTGCATTCTTTCTAGATTCTCAATATCCTTTTTGAATCACGATGTCCAAAACCTTTCCGGGATTCTAGTAAAATGTCAAGATAAATCAGACCTCTTTATTCTGTTGCGAGGGTCTGCAATAAGCTGCCCAGAGTCACAAGGTGTTTGGCTTAAAAAGGCAGTTTGATCCAAACTGATCTGCAACCCCGATGAAAACACTAATCAAGATTTCCGGAAAACATGGCAAGATTCCACAAGAGAGTTAAAAGCAATGATAAGAAGAAAAACCCTGCAGGTTGGAACTCTGGCTCCATTTGAGATATTCCTTTCAACAACCCAGGTCGCTCAAAAAATTCCATCTCACGAGTACAGCTTTGGTTGTAGTTTTCTTTAAATGGAATTTTATTCTCCAACAAGAACAGTAATGTTTTAAAATTATAAATTGGTAAAATTTGGTGGGCAGGACAGGATTTGGGATGCTGTAAACCAGGAGTCTCCAAACTCGGCAACTTTAAGACGCGTGGACTTCAACACCCAGAATTCCCTGGCCAGCACATTCCGATGTTCACTGCCAGTCTTAAAGAGAACATTGGAAATCATAATCACACGATTTAGACTTCTTTCGACATCATAATCGCAAACCAGATCACAATCACATAACTGCGGGGATGCTGCAACAGCTGGAACTATGAGGATCAGGCATAAGTGCCACTTGTTCAGCGCCATTGTAACTTTGAATGGTCTAATGAACGTATGGTTGTAACTCGAGGTTTATCTAGAGCAGGCATGTCAAACTCGCGACGTTACGTGATGTCGCGCAACGTATCACGACTTTTTCCCCATTGCCGGCAATGGGGTGGGCGCAGTTTCATGTGACGCATCCGGCCTGCGGGCCGGCAGTTTGACATGCCTGATCTAGAGCGCAGGTGGAATCCACAGGGCTGATCTTTCTGCAAGTTAAGTGACAGGTGGTCCTGTTTGCAGGATGCAACATTCAAAGAGAAATAAACGTTCAGCAGTCGGTCCTGGAGTAGCAGTAGGATAGATGTCGAGGAATCCCGTAGCAGCTGTCCAGATGAAGTCGGAGACACTGACACAAACTTGTAGTTTTATATAAATATATTTGACATTTCTATTTACAGCAGACAAGATAGTCAGGAACACAGGAACACCGTGTCCCTTTTTCCCCACCTTTTTCATCTGTGTGTGCTCTGTATGCTGTTCAATTTACCTCAGGAACAACGGTGTTCCTGTGTTCCTGAGGTAAATTGTGAGGTAAATCGAACAGCATACAGAGCACACACAGATGAAAAGGGCGGGGAAAAAAGGGACATGATGTTCCTGTGTTCCTGAGGTAAATTGTGAGGTAAGTCGAACAGCATGCAGAGCATACACAGATGAAAAAGGCGGGGGAAAAGGGAAACTCCCCCTCCAGCCACAGCAACCAATCGCAGCACAGATTGCCTCAGGCAGAGACCGCACTCTCCAACCAGTCAACTACAACTGTCTTTTTCTGGCCCATTGTACACTTTACTGTTCCAGCTACTAAATTTAATACCCTAATGGAAGAGATGCTAACTTTTGTGCAAGCCATTGGTTTATTTTCCAACATTTGCAAACAATTCCAGATGGGTCTCTTTTTACAGCCAGTTGTACCTTGTGATGGACTGCCGGTTAGACCATGCGCTGCCTGAGGAATTCTGGGAGTTGAAGTCCACAAGTCTTGAAGTGGCCAAGTTTGGAGACCCTATGGGTTAGTAGACTAAGAGAGGAGAGCCATTATGGAAAAGAGATCCAAGAAAGCAGACATACCCGCAAATAATTC